TGGCTATCAGGTCACATTACCAATTTACAGTACTCCCGGTTGTCTTTTAATGTAGTTTCAAGTTCATAAATTCTTCAAGGGACTCGATCTTTTAAAAATGGTTACGCTTACACTCCTTGACATTTTGCTGGCACATCTGAAACAATTTTTCTTAAGATTTAATTAAACGTTATATGAATTATATTGAAAAACATTTGCTAATAATAACTCATGCAAAAAATCATATAAAAATCATCACGATTATTTGGCTTGTTGTCGCTAACAAATAATAATACAATAATAGTGTCCCACTATTATTAGGTAGTTGGCTGCTAAAGTTTTTGATATGCTGTTTGAAATAACAAGATAAACATATTCACATCCACATTTTAACTCACTTGGATCATTCCTTGTATTTAAAATTGCACTTGTGCATTTTGGTAAATCAACATGATGACCATACTAGTGTAAAATTATTAATAACAGTTCATCACTTGCATTTCTAGTTGTTCTGTGTTTTAAAATCCATTTGGTAATCTCTGTAACAAGTACTCCATCATTAAGATCTTTATTACCGTCATTCATAGAAGCTTCAGAGTCTAGATCAGAACTCTTAGTTTTAGAAGTATCTTTATGATCAGACCCAAAATAAAAGTCACTATAGTTTTTAACTTTCATATTTTTGAAATCAATGCAACTCTCAACTTTATTAATATTGGATTTGACATGCGATGAGTTGCTGATTTCTTCATTTACAAGTATATTATTTTAGGCTTGATTACTTTAGCGTTATTCCTTTAAGTATTGATTTTTTTCTTGTTTATTCATTTTTATTATTCTGAAATAAACATAAATTTTAGTAGTTTTAACAATAATAAGATAATAGTGAAAACTGCACACAATAAAAAATTATAATACTAATAATAATAATAATAATACTAATAATAATAATAATAATAATAATAATAATAATAATAATAATAATATTAATAATAATAATAATAATAATAATAATAATAATAATAATAATAATAAAAACAATAGTAATAATAATAATGACAAAACCTAAATTTCTATTATTAAAAAAAAAAGTAAAAACCTTTTTTAAAGAGTTAATATTCTTATATTTCCTAAACTTTGAAGAGTTGATATTTTTATCAAATTAAGTTTAATCAAAATAAGTTTTTTACTTGCTAGCTCATTAATCTCATATAGTTAAATGTTTGTATATAATGGTCATAATTAAAATCATACAGTTAAATGTTTGTATCATAATTAAAATCACTAAAGTTAAAAGTCTTATTAAATAGTGATAATTAATAGTCATAATTGTGCCAGAAAAAAAGCTGAAAACAAATTTTGGAAAGACAGTAGGAGCATTTGTTAGCCTTTCTTAGCTATGGTTATTTAGGCTAAAATAAAAACTAGCTTAAAACAAAATTTGAAAATATTATAAGCCTTTTCAATATTTGCAATATGATCATTTATTTGAGCTTTTGTTAAAGACTCTCTATACTATCTACCCAGCAAACATGCTTTTATCGGACCGTGATGCGTAGAGCCGCCGCCGGTATGCCGATGCTGGCCCACTGTTAAACCTAATGCGGGTTGCCGTCGTTGCAAAAACGCTGAAGGTCCACTATGCCATTTTTCGTTGGCTTGCCGCTGCCGGCTGAAAAGCGACAAAACGCTTCGTTGAAAATGCGTTATTAATCAGGCATGCCAGCATCGGTAAATAGGTGGCGATGCACTATAGTTTTGCCAACACAAATCTAGAGTTGGCTTTCGGATAACAGTACGCTGTCGTAATAACACCTTAAACAAGCATTTCAAGCGCCTGACACTTTGATAGATCGATGTTTATATTGAGACTTTTTAATAACAAAGTTTTATGATTTTTTTTTATTAGTGTTTAAATATATTCTTCAAATTATTATTATTACATTCATTTATTTTTAAAAAATAATTCAATTAATATTTATAACGCTAATAAAGTTATATATGTATAAGAATATAATTAATTAACAAAGTAATAAATGAATAAGATTAAAAAAAAATCAAATTAGTTTTTTTATTTTTGAGTCTTAAAATATAAATTATGTTTATTTTATATTGAATCTGTATCTGTATAATTTTATATTGAATCTGTATCTACAAAATAAATATAGATGCAATATTAAATTATATATACAATTTGTAGATATCGACGATATCTATATTTAACTTTTTAAAGTATAACTCTAGTTAATGCTTATAGATTAAAATTTATATGATTATAACATTGTTAGTATCATATAACTATACTTATATCTTACTTAGAGCTTATACTCACTTTATAATGTAAAGTATAAATATAGATATAGATTTATATTTTAAGACTCAAAAATAAAAAGACTAGTTTTTTTTTTTAAACATGTATAACTATATGTAACAATGTTATATCATAATGTAAATAAAAGAATGAAATTTCATTAAAGCTTATTATCTATCTGCATTATTTTTTTAAATATATACCAGCTTCAGTAAATATTAAATTTTTATAAACTTAAGATAAAGTTAAGTTTCGATAATGAGCTTTTGGACAAAAAGACGAAAGATATTAGCTGATGTTGAGTATTGCTTAAAAGATCTTAACAATAAATCAAGCAATGTTTCGCAATCACCAGATGACGTAAAATTATTGTATTTAAAAAGTATATCCAATAGAAAATTTTTAACTGAGAATTCAATTCCTTCAGTTGCAAACAATATTGATTATAAAGTGAACTCTAACAGTAATATAACAGTTTCTGATTCAGAATTTTACCCATCAGATTATCTTTATGATGATCAATCATCAGATTCAGAAACAAGTGATGATAGTAACGATGAAGAATTAAAAAATTGTTTGATGCAGTGGGCAATTAAGTTTGCTATAACTGATGCAGCTTTATCATCTTTGTTAAAAATTTTGGGTAAACTGTTTCCTGAATTGCCAAAGGATCCACGCACTCTGCGTCAAACAATATCTTTTGTACCTGTTACCAATATAACTGGAGGACAATATTGTCATTTTGGCATAAGACAAGGTATTTTAAATAATATTTCAAGTTTTTTAAAGATAAAGGATTGTATACGAATTCAAGTCAATATTGATGGCTTACCATTGTTTAAAAGCTGTAATGGGCAATTTTGGCCAATACTAGGTTTAATTGAAAATGTCGAAAACAATATTCAACATAATAAAACTCCATTTATAATTGGTCTTTTTTATGGTAGTTCTAAACCAAAAGATAGTAATGAATTTCTAAAAACGTTTGTTGATGAATGTATTGCTCTATTTGATTCTGGTATTAATATTAATGGTAAAGTATATAAGTTTGCTATATCAGCTTTTATTTGTGATACACTAGCTAGATCATTTATAAAAGGAGTTAAAGGACATGGAGCCTATTTTGGCTGTGATAAATGCTGTCAAAATGGTGTATATGCTGGAAGAGTAACTTTTCCATATCTTCAAGCTAAACTAAGGACCAATCATTCCTTTTCAAATATGGCGCAAAAAGAACATCATATAAAAGAATCTATCCTTGTTCAACTTGGTGTTGGTATGGTAACCCAGTTTCCGAGTGATTACATGCATCTTAAAGTTAATATTTATTTGATTAGAAGGTCCATTACATGTTAGAATTGGTCCCAGAGATGTGAAAAAAACTTTCTGATAAATTAATTGCTGCAACCATGTTTATTCCTAAAGAGTTTGCACGTAAGCCAAGATCTATTACTGATTTTGAAAGATATAAGGCAACAGAGTTCCGTCAGTTTCTTTTATATGCTGGTGTCATTTATTTGGCTGAAGTTCTCCCAGAAGCTTTGTATAAATTTTTTTTGTTATTATCTGTTGCCATGAGGATGTTGTTGTGTCCACAGCTTGCTACAATTTATGCAGAATCAGCTCACACTTTGCTCACTCTTTTTATTCAGCATGCCTCTGATTTGTTTGGTCCGGAAGTCGTCACTTATAACCTTCATGGACTTTCAAACTTATGTTCAGATGTAAAACAATATGGAGCGTTAGACAACATATCTTGTTTTCCTTTCGAAAATTACCTTTCTCAGGTTAAAAAAATGGTGCACAAACCAAACTTTCCTTTACAACAAGTAGCACATAGATTGTCAGAACGAGCGTCATTGCTATTAAAAGAACCATTTATTAAATACCCTTTATTGAAGCAGGAGCATACTATCAAACTTCCAATAGGTCTGCCTGAGATTTCTTCGCAATATAAACAACTATTTTTATCAAGTTTTTGTGTGATGACCTCAGTAGGTGATAACTGTTTTGGTTTAAAAAGTGGTGAAATAGTGATTGTACAAAACATTGTAAAAACAAAAAAAGAACCTTATGATATATTTATAGTATTCAACACTTTTAAAAAGAAATCAAAGTTATTTATTTATCCATGGGATTCTTCTTTGGTTGGTATTTATTCTGTTGACGAGTTGTCAGAAAATTTACTATTTTGTTGTATTGCTGATAGAGAAAAAATATGTTCTTTTGCCACAAAAAAAATCATATGCAGCACTTCCACTTTTACACTTCTAGACATCTTTTTGAATATTATTGTTTATCTATCTATTTTATGGTTTACTTTGTATAAAGTTAGAATAAAACTTTTTATAATTTGAATGATTTTTTTTTTTTATTTTCAGATCTTTTGTATCTTTGGAATACAATAGCATTCAATATACAATTTCTTAAATCTATATAATTGTGTTTTCACTTGTCAATATAAATTTGATTAAACTTTTTTCTGTTTATTAATATTTCATTTAAATTCAGCAATTTGAATATATATATATATATATATATATATATATATATATATATATATATATATATATAGAGATATATATAGAGATATATATAGATATATATATAGATATATATAGATATATATAGATATAAATCAATGTAACTTATACACTTAAGTGTTTTAGTTACATTGATTTTTCTTTTTTTTTTAGTCTTTTAAATTGTTTTAAATTACCTTTTCTTCATAAAAATGTTTTCACAAATCTATACTACAACTTAAGCATTTTAATTAAATTTTTTTAAGAATTAAAGCTTTAACATGAATAACAAAAAGTTTTCTGTAGTTTCTTTTATAAAAGAACAAGGTTCGTTGTTTGTGGTGCCCTCTATTTGGCTAATTGATGAGAGTTCTTGTCGATGGCCACCATTTATCAGTGATAAAATGGTGGTTAAAGCTGTAACAAGTCTTGAAAAAGCGTGTGACACTTGGGCAATACATGACGTTCGTGTTCTATACTCTACAGGTTTGCACTTTTACTTTTTTGTTATAAAGTAATAAATAGCCACCATCATTTATTAACCTATTGCTTAATTAACTAAAGGTATAGTTTAGTGAAAATTTTACTAATATATAGTTTTTATTGAAAAACATTTTTTATTGGTCTATTTTATATTATTGAAGTTTAAAAGAAAGCTGTAAAAAAAAAAAAAAGTTCTTGGTAAGTCTTTATACTTGTATACTTGTAAGTATTGAGTTAGTACTTATATTAATCGGTTAAGAGTTTGTTTAAAAGAATTTAAAATAAACCTCTGATCATTTGCAATAACATGGATTTTATTTTTTTGTGTACACAAATTTTCATACTTTCTTAAACTTTTAGTTTTTCCAAGTTTCAAAAGATAAATGCAACTTTAAATGCAATATATCTTTTTTTTAGCTTATTCCAACATTACAGAAACTAAGAAAAATTTCAAAAAAGTAGTAAATATAAAGTCTTATCGCCCTATCTTACCGCCTTATCGCTAAATTTCAGAGGAAGACGAAATATATTCTATATATTTTTTGCAAAACAATTTCCAAATTAAAATATAATCACTGTAATATAACTATTAATATATTTTTTTAAACTTTGTTAAAGTTGCATCATCAGTTTTCATCATATTTTGTTTCAGAATTTTTTTGTTATTGAAGAGATTGTTAAGCCTAATCTTCTTTTTATGTCTCTAGACACTTATGAAAAAGCCTGTTTAAAGCTAAAGACTGCCGAAGACACATCAGATTTGCTAACAGAGCCTGAACAACAACAGCCTGTACGCTTAAGAACAAAGAGGTTTGTTTAACTTCCTCAAGTCAGAAATTATCTTTATAAAAGTATACCTAAAACAAAAATATAAACTGTAATCAAAAATAAGTTTTTTTTAATTCATTTGTTAACTTTAAAAATGTAATAGATAGCATAATTTATTCTATTTTTTAGAAAAATAATTGACTACAACATTGATACCACTCAGATTATGAGTGACAATGATATTGAGTTTAGTGTTGAAAAAAACATTAAGAAATCACTTTATCCAAAGAAATATTTACAAAATGCACCATTTGTTCCTCCATTATCGTATGATTGTTTACATTATATGATTAAAACAATTTTAAATAATGAAATAAAATATTTCAGAATTTGTATAGAAATTACAATAAAAAAAAATGAACATGTTTATAAAAAAATTTTTCTTATTGCTTTTATATAATAAGATAAAGTTATCAAACTAATAGGAAAATTTTTGTTAAAAAATTTAAATTTTTTAGGCTTCAACAATCAGTGTCCTTGATGTCTGAAGAAGTGTTATTTTCTAATAAAACCCCGTCAAATGAGTAATTAATACATATATACTTTTACTTTCAATAAAAAATTAAAAATGATTTTTAAAAAACTATCAATACAATTATATATTATATTTTCTATTTAACATATCACCTTACACAGGACTCAGTGTATACTATCTCAAGATGTTTCTGAAAAGCTGGTTACAGTACTTATGGAGATAAAAAGTGAGTTAAAAGATTTAAAACGCCAAACTGAGTTTAAAACAAAAATGTTGCAGCAAATGTTAGAGTGCAATGAAGACAATGGAATTATAGAAAAATACAGCTTTCCTGTTGACAATTTAGAAGAATTGTGTGAAGTTGAAAAACTCCTTGCAGCTGATAAGGCAGCATTTAACAAACTTGTAAGCATTTATATACAATACAGTTTCCCAAAATTATAAATGTTATATAATATTTTATGCCCTTAATTTGAGTTTGAATTTTTTAAATGATTTAATTTGGAAACTTTTTTCTGTATATATATTACTGATTCTTGCCTTTTCTGTTTTTTTTTTTTGTTTTTTTTTGTAGATAATAGCAGTGGCTAGCATAGGAGGCCAGACTTTAAAGGAGGCTGTGCGGAGAATGACTTTTGCATTATTCACAAATAACCTCTGCTGTAAACTGAACTGGACTGGTATTACCAGAAAAGATAATGAAAGCATCTTTGTAAAACAAAGTCTAAAAGACTTACAATGTCGACATGTGCTTGAAAGTAATTTTTTTTTGAGAAGGGAGGTGCTAATTATTCCAAATTATTAGTTACTTGTGTCTAATCTATTTATTATTAAATAGTGTAGCTTTAAAAAAGTTCTAAATATATTTCTGATATGATATTGCAAAATATATATATTGTTTTCCTTAAATTTAATTTAAAATTAATTTTTAGGAGCTGTCAAAAGAAATCCTGCAACATCTTCAGCCACTGAATCGGATTTTCAACATGAGATTGTGCGTTTTTTGCGCGGTGCATCAGACCGCAATGGTGGACGAAAAATACGACTAGACCAAAAAAACGAACAGGCCAAGAAAAAACTGTTTCCATCATCAAATTTATCTATGGCATTAAATAAAGAGACATTTTCTAGTTCAGAAGATTAATAGCATTTTTAAATAAAATAATTATCTTTATTTCAAATTCATTATTTGGTATATTTGTTTCAGTATAAAAATAAGATTGTACATGAGAAATTCATCATCATATTGAATGTTACTAGTGAATAAAATAAGATCCATTTTATTATTTTAATGTTATTTTTTTTAATTTTATTTTTGAAAGAAATCCAAAATATAATTTCTGGAGTCAGTCTACTGTTTGATTTATGTTAATGTTCATTGATGTTTGATTACTGTTTGATTATATTAAATTTAATTTAACTTTAAAAAGTTAATGAAGGAAATCTTGGTAATCAACCGCTGTAGCAAATAAAAGAAATCTAGCAAAATTAGTAGTCAAGGTTGCCTTTCTTATTTTACCATTCTTATTTCTTTCTTGTTTTTCTTACTTTTCCATTATTTTAAAGCACTGCTTTAAAAATTCAGTTCAAACAATTTAATTTTACACATAAGATTTACTATTTTTTCTTTACAGGTTTGGACACCTTGTACTTCCACCTTGCCATAGGGTTATGTTGACCATGGACCGATTATTGCCATGGCCATAGAATATTTTTTTTGACTTGCAAATCTATACTATATTTTTTTAAACATATTTATTTGATCTATACTTGCAAATAATTTATAAAAAAACAAATTATATTTACTTATCCATTTTATTTCAGTCACTCATTTGGTTTTTTAAATATTTTTTTAAAGGCATTTTCATCGTTTATTACATTGTGCTATGTTTTTGTTTGTATGGTGAAAACTATGTTCAAATTAAGTAATGTTTTTAATTTTTTAATGTGTTAAATTATGTTTCAATATTAACATTAAATTTATCTTTATTCAATGTAGATACACTTAGCATGTGGAATTACTTATCAATAATTGATGATCACACCGTTTTAAACGAAAATGTTTTTAAAGACTGAGAAAGTTAGTTTATTATGGTCGTTGTAATAGCTCAAGGCACGAGTACAACAAAAACTGGACTGTTTCAATATTTTGATTATATAATATTATCTGCTTACAGGTGACAGTTAAGTCTGCAAACTGCAATATAAATCGATTTTCAACACGTTATGGCTTCTCGAATTTATTTTGTTTCCGATCGAAGTGTTATAAAAACATAAACTTATAAAGTGTTTAAAATTAACTACTTATACTAGAAATATTTTAAAGTAGGTTCGCTAAACGCAAGTTTATATTATGTACCTTTTAAATTACGTTTTAGACAAAATAAATTTATTTTGACTTTGATATTCTTTTTTAGTTGAAATTGTAAATTGTTATCTTAAAATATTTTTTATTATTACTTCTGATTGTTCTTTTTGTTCATATCAGCTCACCGAACTTAAGCGTTACAACTTATGACTAATAATTTGCAGTTGGGGTAGTATTTCCTGGTGCTAGCAATATTACTAAATTCGTGTTGATTTATTAAGTATTTAATAACTATATCTGTGCGCAAAGTTAAAAGGTGTTTGATGTGCCATTCTTTTGGGCGTAAAAATTAATTTGCCAACGATAAGTGCGGTTTCATTCAAGCGAAAATACAAAATTAATGATATATATATATATATATATATATATATATATATATATATATATATATATATATATATATATATCAATGCAATTAAATTTTAGTCGAAACTTTTAAAAGGTCCTATGTTATTCCCCTATCGCTCCATCATCGGTTTGCCGCTGACGGACCGCTGTAAAAAAGTTGTCGATTTGCCGCCACTGGTCCGCTGTCAATCCGCCTGCAGCTTGCTGCTAAAGGACCGATGTAAATACGATGTGCAAGACAACGCAGCAACGCAGCGGGCGGCCGACGTCGGCACGGCATAAGTGCTGACAGCGGTCCGTTATCGGTCCGCCTGCATGATGTTTGCTGGGTATAAATTAAAATTTAAAAATACATTTCATTTTACATACTTTATTTTTTTTTGCACTTAATGCATAGCAGATTCTTGTTCAAGATATTTGAAAGATTAACCTTTCTGTTTCAAATTTACGCTGTTCGTCGAAATATAAGCAAAGTGACCAGTTTATTAAAATTCATTCTCCTCAGTTAATTCGATTTAAAATATTATACTACATTATTTAGAGTGAGTAACTATCAGATTCAAAGAGTTGCCATAGCAGCTTTAATTGCATAAGCATTAGGCTGTAAGCGACTTGATATTCATTTGTAATTCCCTCGCATCTAAAATAAAATATACAACATATTACTTCTTCTTATTATTAAAAAAACTAAACTTGGCAATAATTGTTGATTCTGTTAAATCAATATAAAAATAGTTGCACATCCCTTTAAAGCTTAAAATGAGATTAAAAGAAAAAAAATTATAATAATGAACACCCTGATACAAATTTTCAATCCGTCACTGATAATAATATGAAAATTATGTCAGCATTAAATTATCTAATAATAATATGAAAATTATCTCAGCATTAATTATCATAATCGTATTAACTAAATTCAAAAAAAATTGGCTAAAATTTAATCAAGTAAAACTGAGCGATTACTTATAAAAACGCTGACTGAAAGATATTGTTTTTTTTTTCACCGACGCCTAAAATTTGCTTTATATATTATCAGCTAAAAGAACTCTAAATAAAAAAACTATAAAGTATTTTGTATAGGTAAAGGTATTTATCTAAAGATAAATAATATTCATTTTAGATTTTCAACAAAAGAAAAACTTCAGAAGTTGTTAGGTAAAGATAAAGTCAAACCTGCAGATGTTAAAAAGTTTAAGAAGGAAGCTGTAAATATGATAATTCTTTTATAAGAGAAAATCACTAAAAAAAGTCCATTCCATCGTTTTATGGTGAGAAATCCAAAGTTTATAAGGTTTGTGAAAAGTGTACGCCAAAAATATCAGTTAGACCTTGGTCAAGAAAAAAAGAATGCAAAGAAAAATTAAAGCAATCATCAGTTAAATATTTTAACCAGAAAAACCAGTGTTTAAAAGAAATTTTTTTTTACTAAACTTATACTACTTTTTACAACTTTTAAATTTTACTCTTTTAACCCCTCTCAATAATTCCAGGTCAGGCCTCACTCTTCTCTGAGGTTTTACTCAGATTGTGCTGCTGCAAATGCTAATCGAAAATGTTACTTCTATATCTATAAGCGAAAGAATTCTCAAGAAATTAGGTTCTTATGACTTCTTAAGAAACTTTAATAGTATCAATAATAAGGGCAAATCTGTATTTCCACCTCTCTTTTATTTTTCAGACTTTGTCACCTCACTTAAAGACAAAGCTGAATTGTTTTCTAAGAACTTCTCATCAATATTACCTCTTGATTCACTGCAGCTTCAGTATCTAAATTTATAAACTTATAAATTGATCACTGCAGTATCTGTATCTAAAGTCATTTCATGTTTAGACTCTTCTACAGCTTGTGGCCAGAACAATATACCTGTTAAAGTTTTGTAGAAGTGTTTTCCGGAGCTGTCGTATATACTTTCAAAACTATTCAACAAGTGCTTATCAGAGTCTTGTTTTCCAGCCTGCTGGAATCTGTTATTCATCTGGCATCTGTTATTCATACTTTTATAAATTCTGGAGAGCAACCTGATTTTTCTAATTACCATCCCATTAGTCTTCTTCCTATCATAAGCAAGGTTTTTGAATCTTTAATTAACAAACACTTAATCTCTCATTTTGAATCTAATAACTTTCTTTCAAACCATCAATATGGATTTTGATCTTCTCGTTCTACGGCTGACTTGCTAATAGTAATAGCTGATAGGTTTTAATGTGCATTAGATAGATATGGAAAGACTAAGGCTATCGCTTTCAATATTTCTAAAGCTTATGATAATGTTTGGCTTGCTGGTTGTCTTCATAAACTTTCTTACTACCGTGTATCAGATTACAACTTTAAGATTGTTAAATCCTTCTTTTCCAATCGTAGTATAAAAGTTGTCCTCGATTAACAGCATTCTTCTTCTTATTCTGTAACCTCAGGGGTTCCTCAAGGTTCAATCCTTGGCCCTACAGTCTTTAATTTACATTAACAATCTTCCAGATATTCTCACATCTAAGATAGCATTATTCGCTGATGATACTACCATTTGTTCTTGTCATGATTTGAAGCTAACTCTCTTCGATTGCTTGGAGGGGCCATTTGAGCATGAAAAGGATCTCACTTCTGCTACAGCATGGAGGTCACAATTGCTGGTGAACTTTTAGATTCAGATAAAACTCACTTTTTACAGCCAATCATTCTTAGCAATAATTTATACCTTCCGATATTTATGAACGATAATGTATTTGATGAAAATTGTTGTACTTGATATATAATTCAAATTTTTATTATGTTGATATTTTTAAATCCTGTTTTTGCTATTTCTTTTGATCGACATAAACTGTTAGTAATTCTTTTATATTTTTATTAAAAGAATGATATATTTAATGCAAGTTTAAATGTTTTTTTCATTATATCAACCTTTTTTTATCTTTTTTTAATTTGACAATAAAGTTCTACCCTACTTCATTTTTTATGATTAGTTTGACTACTGCTGAAATATGATTTAAATTTAATAAATTCATGAACTAAAATTTACTTTATTGATCATTAACCAACAGTTTTGATAATAAATTGAATTTAACATCGTCAAGGTAAGAGTAAGTTTGTTTTCTTGTAACACCATCAAACAGCGTTTTATGATAATTATTATGTCATTTGCAAATTTGTGTTGGTATGTAAAAAAAATTTGCAACTTAACAAACAAACTTCAGCTAACACTATAAAAACAGTTAACACTATAAAAACAAAGTAGTAATTGCACAACTCGCACAAGCAAGTTAAAAGTACTACTTTGTTTTTATAGTGTTAGTTTTTTTTAAACAAAAGTTTCATAGTGACTTTTTTTAAACAAAAAAAAAATAAGATAGATTATGGGTTCTACAGGGATAAGGTCGACCGAAGACATTATTACCAATAAATATTTTTTGCCCAACTTGTGGCATATTAAAATTTATTAAAGTTTTATATTAATACATAATTTTCTAATTTTTAACATTTATATAAATTACATTACTTATTTATTACATATACTAAATATATACAACATTATTTTACATTTACATGAATTACTTATTATATACCTATTATTATAT